CTCGGAGTCGGAGTATGACACTATGAGTCGTCACTCATACTGTCCGATGTGTCGCGGGTGACATTAATAAGAAACGGTTCTGCTGATATAGTGTCACTTACAGTATCCAAAAGCCGTCCAGATCTTTCATTTTATGTTTTTCTTTAATTATATGTCTAACACATTTAGCCCATTGTTCTTTGCCAATTTTTTCTTATCCTTTTTTAATTTATTCGGACATTTTAAAAGTTTTGTTTCGTCTTCCTACGTACGATTTCACTTGTGACCAAATGAGTTTGATGCGATTTAACTCGCAGTGGTATGGGGGATGACAAAGCACTGTAATTCCTTTGGATTCTGCAAGAGTATCGACATATTTCTATTTGGAACAAACGGTCTTTGTCAAATTATTTTAATAGTTCCGATTTTATATTTTTCTCATTATAATTTATTTGTTTATTTTTTCATTATAATTTAGCTGTCGAGAATGGTATAGGTCATTGTCCATCACCACAACTGACCCAGGCTGAATTTTATGTAGGTATAACATTTTGAAACCAGAAATAAAACTATAATATTAGTATATTATAGCCTATCAGTAACACTTTTTTCTCTTCATGTTTATGTTTTAGGCCATTTCTCAAAATTATGCGCATCCATTTCTCCATGATAATCCCCTTCTGATTTTTTAGCTTAAAAAATCCACTCTACACCTTCACCTAAATCGGGCGGTAGCCAGACAAACCTGAAGCTTCATGGGACTATTATATTTTCTTGTTGTGATAATTGTGTTTACTAAAATGATAGCTAGCATTGATTTTCTGAGCGTCATATTTCATAAAGAAAAATGAGAAGTAGGTGTTGTGTTTTTGATGTGAGGCTCGTGCAGGATCTCGTAAATGATACACTTTATATAAACACCACTTATTATATTGTTACTTTGAGAACGGTTTGGTTATACAGGATTTGTTAAAACGTATACTTTGATAAAAAAAAACGGAGCACGCTGAGGCGCGTGTCGAGTTGGGCCGAAACAGGGCGGTTCGCTCAGTGGCGACCTCTATCGTTATAATTTAGTATGAAAATACTAAACAGTAGGTATGAGTACTGTAAAAGAGGGCTTTTCGTAACATCTTTCTTTATTAATCATCCGGTCAAGCTTGCCGTGCCGCGACGAAAGACAAATGCGGGCTATTTACCTTCTGCGGAAAGGTGTGTGCGTTTAGGGCGAGAGCTTGTTTCATTGTGTGCAAACGAATGTTCCCATTAATCTCCAAAACGGTTTGACCTATTTAGATACGGGCTGTGAAGGGTTTGTGATTAATCAGCGATGGTTTTTAGACAGGTTTCATGGTGTTAACTCATCAGTGGGTTGTGCGATAAACATTTTTTGCTTAGTGAAATGAGTTATATCTAGGGATATACACTAGGGATGTGAGATAAATGGAAAAAAAATCGATTTAACTGTAACATACATACAGACACTGACCACCGAAAACCGAGCGTGAGTTCGAGAGCCTGGTAGTCCACAGTCGAATTGTCATAGAAGCTACTATTAAACAACAAACTTTCCTACAAACATTTGACTACCCCAACGAAATTGCCATAATAGTATCTAAGATGACAAATATGGATCAGTTCCATCATCTGAACTATCATTAATCAAAATTATACTTGTTGCATTGTGTATTCTGGAGCTGTTGCATCATTCGAGCAATTTCACTAATGAGCATGACGACGCTTTAGTGAGATAAATCGAACGAGACCAGAAATCAGTTATGTACGGTTGTCATAATGATGTTGAGAAAATTTCACTTTCGAATATTTATTAATTAAAATCAGTTGTTGGTGTAATTTGTTCTTTATAAATTTCTTCACACCTTTATTGATTTTTGTAATGTCATATTTACGTCACAATCGCTTCAGATCTGATTATTTCATCAGACGATTTACAAATTAAAGTGTCGCTAAACGGATTTGATATGTTTTCTACCTCTTCATTCGTTAAAAAGTTGATGATCTTTATGTATGTCCTGTACTTCGTAAATCCGGATTAAGTCCACCCCATAGAGATCTAGAGAGATGCCAACTAATGCGCTGAGTTCGAAACCCAGTGTCGCATTTGAAATCCACACACGCAAAGTAATCAAAATAAAAACAATACGTCACGAAGAGTGTATGTCATGCACACATTGCATTCAGTGCGACTATTCGTTTTTCGTTGCTGTGACACCGGACCCGCTCCCATGTCACATCACCCTTTAGTTTCTGTGATCTGTGGTCCACCCACTAACAAAGCTGCTTAATGTTAAGCATAATTCAGTGTAAGATAGATGGTCTTCATCAGCCACATGTTTGAAAAAATTTGCATGTTTCTGAGTCGACCATTTCAAGTGAGCGGAAAATCTTGCGTGCCCCAAAGTTAAGGACCTTTTTGAGACTACTGTCTCCCAATTTATTGAAGAACCACGGTCTTCTTGAAGTTATTTGCTGAATTTATTGAATTTTCTCGACACCCTGGACCCCTCATGATTTTGCATTGCAGTTTTTGTAGTTGTGCTTGCTTTTGCGTAACTTCATGCAAACTGAATTTTTGACACATTCAAAGCCGCAAACTCCGGGCAAGATAATTATAGCCATGATTACAGCAGCACAATACTATTGTTCGGGAGCTGGCTAATAATAATATGCCTTCTTTCTGATTTTTACAATAATGTAATAAAATAAAAGGAAAAAATACGAGGGCGGCACTGAAAATTTCGGGAATCAAGGAAGTGAAACAACATTACTATTTAAAAATGTATTTATTGCTTTTTAAAGTATTCTCCGCGAAATTTGACACATTTTTCCATACACGAAACCAATCATTGAAGCAACCATTGCATTCGGAAGTTTGGGTCTCCAAAATGGCCGTTTTGTAGGCTTCCACAGCTTCTTCAGGTGATGAAAATCTCTGACCACGCAATTTATTCTTTATTTAAGGGAAAGTATAGAAATCATTAGGGCTTAGGTCGAGGCTGTACGGCGGATGGACTAATAATTCTATGTTTTCTTGCTCTAAAAACTCCTTTGTTCAGTGCGCGGTGTGAGAACTCGCATTGTCGTGATGGAGGATGATGCGGCGGTTGCAGTTCTCTTTACGGAGTTCAGAAACGACCTGTGGCAAACAAATGCTAGCATACTAATCTGCATTAACCGTTCTTTGTCCCCCAAGAGGAATAGTCGCAACATGGCCGGTTTTGGAGACAAACGTGGCCACCATTTTTTTTGCAACACTCCGTGAACGAACAATTTTTGTTGGCTTTAATTCATTTTCGAACACCCAAACTCGTGACTGGTTTTTTGTTTCGGGTTCGTACGCGTATATCCATGATTCGTCACCTGATACGATGTTGTATACAGCATTTGAGGATCCTGCATGTAATCTCCCGAGAGTTCTGACGCACCAAGTAACGCGAGCTGCTTTTTGCTCTTCACAGAGCGAATGCGGTATCCATCGGGAAAACAACTTTTTTACACCTAATTGTTCATGCAAGATTATTTGTATTTGACTCATGCCAATGTCTAAAGTTGCCTGAATTTCGCGGTATATCACATGTCGATCTTCTTCAATCAGCTTACGCACAGCATCAACGTTTTCTTAGGTGACTGCAGTTTTTGGACGACCTTGACGGGGATCATCACTGAGCTTGACACGTCCACGTTGAAATTCAGGAAACTAGCGATAAATTGTGGTTTTGGATGGGGCTTCATTACCAAATGCAGAAATCATCCGGTCAACACACTGTTTTTGTGTTAAACCACTTCAAAAGTCATAATAAATCATCGCTCTTGAATTTTCTCGAGTCAATTCCATTTTCTCAACGACTAAACAAGTTTGACAAGACCTTGTGATACGACCGAGAATCTTTTTTTAAATAAATAAATGGTATACGATTTTTAAAACCCTGGACTTTGCAATTAAATAGATTTTAATATGACTGGAACAGTGGAAATATTCCATTCCCGATACTTTTAGTGCAGCCCTCGTATAACAGCTGTCGTCTGTTCAGCTCGGCGTGGTTGGAGTGAGAGACGATTCGGATTCAACTGCGCGCGCACCCCGCACTAGCAGTGTGGCGTGTGGCGCGAACAACTATTTGTTTCATTTTTAAGACTTCGTCTTCTCAGTTCTGGTTCTGCCAGCACCAGACTTTCTGCCACAAGAACACTTTTGTTCTTCATGAACATTCTGCTGTATTAGTATCGTGACAATCCAATGGACTTAGTCTCCATCGGGCCATACCTATTAACGTGCACCATTTCCAGGACTCTTTCGTCTTCTCAGTTCTAGATCCAAGAACACTGAAATAAAAATATTTTTTGAAAGAATATCAATCAGAGCATAAGTTTTCGGATCGGATAATGTTGTTAGTTCTGTATATTTATTGATTGAAAACATTTATTTTTCAAAATACTCTCCATAAATTTTCAATTGGTGTAAATTTCGTTCCGAAATTTCAATTTATTGTATTGCACTACGTTATAATTTATAATATAAATATAATATAAAAGTTTAAAGGCCATATCATATTAAATATGCAAGATTAAAGTGTAGCATTACTTATTAGTGATTTATTTGCCGTTTTTGTGATGTTCCCGAAATGATGGGAGTGTTTCCAAAATGACAATGAAGTACCTTAAATGTCGTTAACGTTCCCTAAATGAACGCAACACCCACTTTTTGTCATTATAGCAATAATATACAGTTACAGTATTATACCTTTATTTTTACAAGGAATGAGGAACATGAGTCTCAAAAATTAGACTTAAAATCTAATAACAATAAATTTTGTCAATCAACAAACATTAAATATCAGGAGCAAATGCTAATTGCAGTATCATTGAGATTTTCTTGCATATTAATGCTTAAAAATCAAAATATACACTTTGTTTTAAAATAAACAGATATTAGGAATTATGTTAACATTATCTTTCAGTCTCTTCATATCTCTTTGTTCAGGTGTCATTTTATACATATAAAAACTTGCGCTTCCTTGCATTAGCCTTTTCATTATATTTTTATAAGTTATACTATCCTCTTTTAATTTGTTTTTCGACTTCCTCTTCTTTTCACTTTTATAGTTTTCCATGTTGATCGTATTAAATGAATACCTAAAAGCAAAATTTTGCATGGTTAAGCTTTTAAAAGCATTAGAGCATCATTTTGCCCAAAGATTGTCATCTCGGGAACGCCTGTCATATACGAGAACGTTCCCGAAATGACCGTTCCCGGAATGACTTTTTGATAAATATTTTCATGTCGCGCTTGACGCCGCTATATTAGATTTTGGTTTTAGAGCTTATGAACAAGTGACTTGACTTACTTTACTTATGGTCCTATGTCCCCTAGATGGGACAGAGGGCGTCCACAACAGTCCTCCATCGCGTTCGGTCTTGAGCTACGCGTTTGATCTCGTTCCAAGTCTTGCCGATCTTCTTCGCCTCGTCTGCCACAGTACGCCGCCAAGTTTGCTTGGGGCGACCACGTTTGCGTTTTCCTTGGGGGTTCCAATCCAGAGCCTGCTTGGGGATGTGATCGGGATCCCTTCGGAGAGTGTGGCCAATCCAGTTCCACTTGCGGCGCTTGATCTGCTGGTCGATCGGAATTTCGTGGCAGCGTTCCAATAGCTCGACGTTGGAGATTTTCTCAGGCCAGTATATGCCGAGAATTCGGCGAAGGCAGCGGTTGACGAAGACCTGCCAACAAGTGAGCTGTAATATTTATAAGAATTTAGCAAAATGTATGCAAATTTTCGAAAAACTAATCATCAAACAGAGTTCCCGTAGTTACAGGGAATTAAAGTACGCTTCACACATATCAATTTAAAAGGTACTTACCAACAAAATCAATTATTTTTTTCCGTAAACAAGAAACACGCCTTTTGCTTTGACTAGTGAACTTCACGCTGATGCTCGCTAACGCCACGTAGCGTGTGTTCTTTTATTTACATCGATCAACATCGACCGCGTTCACGGAAAGATTTAATAAACGTCAGACACCATTTGAATAGTCAAAATATAAAGAAATTAAACTGCTATTAATGTATTAAATACTTGAATTCTTAATTTGATGATGTTCAATATTAATATTAAAATATGACAATTTTAAGTCTTAATTATTTTACATTTTGACTTGTTTGAACTATGAAACATGGTATAAGGATGCGTTCCCGGAATGACTATTTCGACCTTTTTTGTTTAAAATCAAATAAAACATAAGTATAGAAAGATAAATAAGCTATGTGCCGTGTAATTATGCACAGAACCTTTATTTTGAAATAAATATTTTAGTAATATCGTGTTATTTTAATCAGGAAAACTTTGTCAGAAGCATAATGCTCACCTCTTTGATTTTGACCCTTATATTCTTTTTTACACAATAATCATAGCTTGTGCTGTCATAATAGTCAGAGAGTCGATAAGATTTTTTGAAATATTCTTTGTTATTTGAATAAAAAAGTATAATATTTAGATCATACATCATGGCCGGCCAGTGGTCATGCGTGGCGCGCACAGTAATTGATACTCGCGTATTCTGTGTCTGTTCCTTTTCGTGTAAAGTAACGACAAAAATAAAAGTGTGTAATATACCGTACGTACCTAATTACATCCGTATGCGAGGAATGCACAATATGGTTTCTAATCAATTACATTCGTGCCGTATACGATTTACGCCTACGTACTTTTTATCACACTCGGATAATTGAAATTTAATAGCTTTACAGAATAACAAACAATCGCATAGGTAAGTTCTATAACGTAATTCTCTATTTGTTCTAATATTTAGAGATATTGTAATAAAATAAACTGTTAATTGAAAAGTTCAATTAACGTATTTTAATAAAGTATATTTAATGCAAACAAACGGCATGTTTATTTGCTCGGCGATCGGGGTCAACCAGAAATATGGTAACATTGAATATTTATCTATCGTCACATTCAATTCCTTTTCAAGCGTGTGTTTCATTATTATTTTTTAATGTTCAATTAATTTGTATTCGTGAGTTCCTTTTTAAGCTGTCATTATCTTTTAATTCCCATTATAAGAAGGTTACAACCTACAACATAGCAGTGATAATGCGTATTAAATAGTATTCGCCTCCCGCTGCTTTTTAAGCACCTTCACCCCTCTACTGAATCTGAGGGCACGTCACAGGTTGAGAGGTGCGTGGGGAATATTCATTGAAATATTTATAGTAATAATTAAAAGTCGATTTTGAATATGTTTGTCAGCGATAAGTATGTAGCCCCTGGGGCTGCGGGTGTCGTATGGCGGTAATCACAGGTAATCACCTATCATCAGGTGATTTGTTTGATATTTTAGTTTGCCTCTTGTCCCATAAACAACTATTATTTTATAGGTGAACTGTTCAGTTTGCACTTAACTTTTACATCAGTGTTGAATAAAATATTACTGCTTGTGAAATCATTCTAATTAGTATTTCATTTAGTTGTTGCATTTCCAACCCAAATATTTGTTATACTGAATACCAGTATTTTTTGCATAAGTGGTATCTAGCATAATAAAACCCTTAAAATTTGAAAAGAATTGTAGATATGGAATTTTGTCGGTATGTGCGTAGTGACCATAGACTAAAAGCGCATAGCAGCCATACACAGGAGTTTACAGTAGTGACAATGAGTAAATATTTTTCAAGGGGAAGCTCTACCTAAAAACACACGTACCCATACAGGAAAACATAGATATTGTTTAACTAGCAGCTATACAGCCAATATTGTGAAGTGTGTTTAACAAGTTTCAAAATCTCTTGTATTTTATCTTGTTCGGCCTCAACTCTTAAGCCTGTATATAATTTTATTTGGTCAACGAATTTACGAAATTAATTTTATCAAAAAACAATAAATAGTTATGAATAGACAATAGATTACGTCTTCCGATGTTCGGATCTTTTTTTTTAATGTATATCAATAATGTTAATATGGAATTATGACAATATTTAATCAATACGATTAAGTAGTTAGTTTACATACATTAATTCTAATATATCATTATCATTATCATCATCAACAGCCTTTTACAGTCCACTGCTGGAGTATAAGCCTCCTCCACTTTAGTGGAGGATTTTAGCATAATCTCCACGCTTGGCAGGCTGGATTCTAATCTATAGACTTAGACAATCTCAAAAACCAATGTGATCACCGCCTTCCCCATTTATGTTATTTGAAACAAATGTCCTTTCTCTGGGTTGTCTGGAAGAGATCTCTCTTTCTAAGGATAAGACCTCCTATATGGTGCCCTTTCAATTTGATATTTATTTATGTTATGTGTCTGTTTTTGTGTGGTGTACAATGAAGTATATTCCAGGAACTAAAATTTACGCCGAAGTACCTTAACATTTTTGATATCAGGGACCGATGCTGAATATGTTTCAATCAACTATTAGGTATCATAATATCTTATTACGTAAATCGTGTAATTCAAACTTGAGTGCGACTTGTAGTTATTGATATTAAAAATAATGATTATTATTATTGATATTAAAAATAACAGTGCAGTTAAAAACCTGATATATTATTTTGATGCATTGAATGTGTAGATTTTATAATTTCATTTTCTTAATCACCTCTGTAAACCGTTTTATTTATTGTTTCTTATAAAGAAACAATCTTATTTATTGCTCTACAATAAGTATGACCTTGAAATCGACTGGATTTCTACGCCCACTTGTATAAATAAAACAGCCGTTCACATAAATAATGCGACGGGATAAAAATCTCAACTCTGTAGCAACATTGCTGTGACGGTTTTATTAAAACGCATAATTGGTCTCGAAACCCACGTTCTACTGGTACCAATATGTTGTAAACTACATTGTTTATTCCTTGGTTCTAAATTCCGTTGATTACAAATATTTACTTCACAATTTACGATATTACCTTATCTAGTCTTTTTTAGAGTCGGAGGGTACATCAACGAGGGTGAGACAGATTTCCTTTATTTTAATTATAATATATTTTCTGGTAAATGATGCAAGCTGGAAACAGAATTTTCGGATAGATCCAGTCTATTCTGTAACATTGTGTTATTGAAGCTTCTTAAGAACTTTCAAGATCAGTAACCATATTATCTTGTATCAGTATTCGATATCTTGTATAGTTTAGAAATAATCGAGTGATATCACTTATCGTTTCCACCCTGTATGTGTCAAATTAAATATCCACTATCAAAATCATTATTCATGCGTAACATTTTTCTACTCGAAGTTACTAAATGCTTATATTTAGGTTTGCCCTTATTCCTGCTATCTATCAGTTAAATTTCCGCTTACCCAAATAGAAGTAGCTTTAAATAATAAATTACACAGAGTTCTTTGATATTATTTTCTTTCCTTCTATATTTCTTAAATGATGTTGTGTTGATTATTTATTTAGTTATAATTTGTTTCAACCGCTTTCCTTATTTAAATTGCGGGGAGGGCATATGTTAAATCAGAGTTCATACACAAATTAGCTGGCTTGTTATGCCAGATGCGAATGTGATGTGCTAGACGAAAGTTTTTTTAATGTCATGCCCAATTAACAAAATAGCTGTACGTCAACTGCCTAGCACAATTTGTCCTAGCCGCTTAAGGAACCGTGTAATCGGTGACGGAACTCGATTAGCCACATCAGTTAATCCAGTTAATTACATTTACGGATACAAGCGTAAAATTGCTGCCAGTTTATAATTTTACAAATTAGGCTAACAAACCTGCACAGACGGTGGAGGGCGTGGGCACCCGATTTGATTTTCAACAGTTCAATTTTTATGACTCTTCAAATTACAATAATGCTTAGTTTTTTAACGACAACGCAGAGATGACTTGACAAACGACCTTCAGTTATACTTGAATGACGCTGACGCCTACACGCGAAACCGTCCTTGTTTATTATGGATGGTGCTGTAAGCTGTACTTACTATTATTTACCTCCTTCAGCTATATTTATATGCTATGTAATTGTAGGACACGCCGATAATCGTAGTCTCGTTGCTCGCGCGCATGCCGCCGTGTGAGTCATCGGTAAGCGTTCTGCGCACAATGCCGTCCGATCAGTCCAGTCGCGTCGCGGCATACTTAGAGGACATACATGTCACTTAAACTCACGCAAAGTACAAGAATTAAACGATCGACTTACCTTGATTATTGTTTCAAATTGTGAATTAAAATAAAACCCTGGAGATAAGTGTTGCCTTGTGAAGATGTCAACAGTCAAGAAAATGATAGCTATGCGGCAGCTGGATTCAATGTTTGGTAGCATGACCCTGGAGGGGGAGGGTCGACATTCGCCGCTCGTCAGCTCCGTCGTCGAGCACGACCCTCATTGCGACGTACATGGCCGTTGCAGCACTCCATATCGGTCATCCCTTTACCTTCACAGTAGGGAGTCGACGCCGGGATACCACAGGGAATCAATATCACCAACAAATGGGCTCATAATCAGGTCCGTAAAATTTTAGTTAGTGTGTTATTTATTGTTGTTATAATCTTTATTAATGCTGGCTGACAAAACAGGCGTCGAGATTCACTGGGTATGTCGGGATCGCCGGCACGCGAGCTGGAACACCCGTCGACATTCCCGAGTATCCTTCGGCGCGATCGCCACAGCCCTTCCCAAACGCCGCCTCGCCGAGATACGCCAAGCCCAACACAGAGAAACTACAACAAGAGACATTCCATGGGATCCTTCCCGAATCTCACCAGGAGTAATATTGTTAATTATAATAGAAGGGACTCTGTAAACAGCAATGGAATCAGAGATATGAAACGTGATTACGTCGGTTCAATGAATTCGCTCTCGAGGAAAAGTTCTATAGACACAAAGAAGTCATCCACGGACTCCTTAGATATATGGCATTCAAGTTGGGACTCTGAAAGGCACAATTCTGTTTCGTCGCTTGGGCATGACGAGAGACTCTCATACGGACATAACAAGGTAATTGTGAACTTGTAACAATAACTTACTGTCTGGTTGGTTAGAATATAAGATGGATTTCTT